CCTATTGCCGCTTCTCTTAATATATCTTGTTTCCGACATGGATCAGCGCAGGGCGACTCTGACTCAGATTGACTGGCATCTTGGTGTGACTGGGGTGCCCAGTCAAATAGTCCACATATCTAGTTTCCAGACGTCCGTTTTAACATCTCGCTGAAATGTGGGCTTCAATCTGGCCACGCGGGTGAGAAGCACAAGATTTTTGGGACTCCTTTATTTGCGGCTGTTTCTCAGATACGAAATACGAGGCTTAATATTGTCTGTGCATATGGGGGGGAATGGTCCAATGTGTCATGCAACTCGACAGCTATGAACGCTGTCTCAATCGCATTGAGATCCTTGCCTTTGGATTGGCAACAAGCACTAAACCAAACTCAAGAGGCTTTTCGTTGGCTGAGACCGGTGCTAGCTTCCAGTCGTATCTCAGCAAAATGTTTGAGAGCGCCATCTTGGATTCGTGTGCGGCGAAAAAGCGGCCAGCACACGCGTGCTTCCCGTAGCCAAACGCAAGATGATTCGGGCTTGTGCTCACAAGATGCGCCTGATTTGCGACCTTACTATCACCGCTCTCTCGCATGCGGACAAAACGATAACCATCGAATCTCTCAGGGTTTTCATGCACGTTCGGATCCCATAGCTTGTCTGCAGAAACACCAATGACGCTCCCCTTGGGTATTGCGTCGCCATTAGATAGAGTTGTGTCTTCCAAGACAAGCCTATGCATGAACGCTATCAAGTGCGCGTTAGCTTTCATCGCGTCGTCTAAGAAATCGTGACTATTTTAACTCACTCATGGCAAGGGGCTTCCGGCGCTGGCTCTCCTTCAGCACGCTATCAAGGAGCTTCATCTCGTGAAACGCCGCCTTGCTCCATCCCAATCTATTAGCGGCGTCATTGATCTCATCTCGTAAAGGTTCGACGATTTCCGGAGTGGCTGCAATCTCAAGAATGGCTTGGGTGAGCAAGTCTGTTGTAGTGTGAATTGCGGCTTGTGACAAAATGAGTTGCGCAACAACAGGATCGTAATCGCTTGTCGTGTCTTTGGTATCTTGTTCAAGCCACTCAATTACGTCGTTGAAAATTGGAATAGGCTTGCCAGACTTGATAGCCGCTTCTTTTACTAGGCGACGCCGCTCAATGGCAGCTATGATAATACTCCTCGCCTTGAAAACATGTCGGCGGAGCTTGATACAACATGGCAGTATCCAGTGAACCAACGGGCGAAGCTTGGCCGGCCATAAACGAAGGATTTTGGCCGCAATGTAAGCATCGGTTGTGTATTCAGTGGTGACTTTTATCCAATCGTCATTCCTCGTGATCTCTTCTCCTAGAAAGACGCGAGAGGAAAGACGTGCTACAAGCTTCAGGACATGGTCACGAAGATTGATCTCTGTCCAGTCTACTACAGATGTTAGCACGGCTATTGGCAGTATAATTTCTTCATTCAGGCATACCTTTTGCATCTGGGAAGTGATCTTCCAATGCAACCGCGCATTCCTCTGCTAGAGCTCCTGTAACTTTATCTGCCATGGCCAACGTTAGTCAAAATCCAATGCTCTCTTCAGCAAATGAGCATGTTCATACCTAAAGAGTGTGTGAGATGCTTTCTGGCAATATCACGACTTAGTGCCGCATCGGTTGTGCCTTCCCGGAAACCTTCGAAGCCGGGGAACCGAGCATGAAAATTCTACAAATCCGAGTCTCGTATTAGTTTAAGACCTATGAGTGTGAAATATGCTGTCATACATACCTCAGTAATCACTTGTGGATAACTTAGCCGCGAGTCTGTCCGGATTTCATTCGCGAACTCTGAGGGAACCACTGTGATGACGCCTATATCGGTCAGGATGCGGAACGCTCGATTCAGTTTCAAGCCTTTGGACACGAGGTTTCTGGCATTGAAAAGAAATGATAACTGAACCAACAACCGAGGCTCCCAGAATCTGGGAGCGTTTACCATCGGAATAGTGTCTTTTCTTCTGAAGGCTCCGTGAAACGTCAGCAACAAGATCAAGCCAGCCACTATACTCGAGAAAGAGTACACATAGCTAGCTCGGAAATAGCCCAGCGCTTGGTTGCAAAGCGCGTCAGTTGAAAAGAACAGCAGCGCAGTGGCCGAAATGCTGTCATTGACTAACATGATCATTATGATAGACACAATGATGAAATGATGCTTGCGTGAAGCGAAGAGGGGGGGGAAAAGAAAGGTTAGTTGCAGACGTGCGCACAACGTGATAGAAAGGACATCTTGAAAATAGGAAAGAAGCTTGTGCGTTGTAACTGGGTAGAGAAGACGCAGGCGCCCGAGAACGATTCGGAAGCTGTTTACCCTAGTCTTGCGATATCGAGGAAGTCGAGTGAGAGCGCATAGCTGCAAGACCACGGATTTCAGAATGGCCCTGTTCGCCGAGGACGGAAACATCCGAGAGCGAGAGCGACTTAATCGGCTTAGCTACGAAGAGTCAGTCTAGGTGAGCAGCTACCACATGGTCAGTCCCCCTTCTGACCCGCTACCCACGGCTTCCACGGAGTTTCAGCCCATGGTATCATTTCAAGTCACTCTCGTCACACTGCGATCTGTATTAAGATCTCAACTTTCAGACAGGGACCAGGACCCAAAAGCTCGTACGACAGGTTTTAACAAATGGATTGCTTACCGCTAGCGCTCACCTGACATGGAGTCAACTTGACGCCTGGAGGCGGATCACTAAAGCATGGAGATTATGACTTTGGCAGCGGAAATGCTCATTCTTCTAAGTTTTCTATATGCTTTGCGGAAGGAAAGAAAAAACATCAAAATCCAATATTTTAGACTACGCTTTCAATGTCTCAGTGGAAAAGCACCATTTCCGATGCTTGGTCTCCGGCCGTGTTCGGATTTCCACCAATACATCCGAATTAGGCTTTTTCACCGACAGCATATTCGTATCGTCCTCTTTGGGTAGACTATCTGCGCCATCAGGGAAAGTTACGTCAAACGTAGAGAGAAACATCGCCGTGAATGTAATCATCTCGTCCACTGCAAGGTGCCTTCCGGGGCACAAAGTGCTGCCTCCTCCAAATGTCCGGTTTGCTGCTGGGTGTACCTTGCTCGGCCTCAAGAACCTTCCCGGCTCGAATGCGCCGGCATCAGCACCCCAAACATCTGAATTCGAGTGAATCGCCGTTGCTGCCATTTGGACTATGGCTCCTTTCTTCAGGACATATTCGCCGCCTATTTCAACATCCTGGTGAACCAGAAAGGTGCCAGTCGAAGAACTGATGCATCGCAGAGTCTCATGGCAAATGGACATGAGAAGCGGGCAGCGTTTACGAATAGCGGCGACATCAAGTGTGGAGAAGTCCTCATCATGTGCACATGGCTGAATGATCAGAGAAAGCTCCAGGCGAACCTTTTTCAGCAGTTCTTTATCTCTGGCAATACGCAAGATGATCCAAAAGACAGCAGGGACTGTGTTGATCAGGAATCCGGTCATGAGGCCAAGACCATAGCGAGCAATGAACTCAGTCCCTCTACTGTGGTCCAGTGCAAGCCTGCGTGTACGCCGAATCAGTTCAGAGGCAGTATCTTCGGGAAATGAGTCGCCAAAGTATTCCAATAATGCATCGACGATTTTTTGACGTGCCGCTGCTGGTTTCGTAGCCGTGATGGTGGGAAAAACACCCATCGTCAAAGCCTTGAGGCCATTCTCAAAGTCCCTGTGAAAAAGTCAATAAACGTTCTGGTAAGAAAAAGCTATGGGACTATACCAAAATGCCTGCAGCAACTCTTTGTTGTTAGCAAAAGGGCCGTCTGGTCCGTGAAGGGCCTTTGCAGTCGACATTGCGAAGATCTCTTGAAGCCAACTCTGGAGAGCAATGGTTCTTGGACCTTCGCTGATGCTGTTGACATGGTTTGCTAGGCCGTTGAAAATCTCGTCGTAAACCTCCTTCAGAGAGAGAGAACCCGGAGAGAGAAGTGAGTGCTCCATCACGTGGGCTTCCTGTCTTAGCGAACCTTTTTGCAACGGGTTTCTCAGCAACTCCGAGATGTCGGTCTGAGAAAAAGCAAATAGTTTCCCATAGACGATGGTGACGAAGGGAACATTGCCATCAACCTCTTTAGAGCGACGAGATATCAAGGCAATAAGTTCTGGTGAGTTGACGATGTACGTCTTCTGAGAGGCCAAATACACAGTCAGGATTGGAAGTTTGGTCGATGATCTGCTTGTAAAGTCAACAATCTGTCGAGAAAAACATACTTTAACAAGATCAAGGGTTTTAGTGCCCCATCTGTACTCACTTACCTCAGATAGATGTAATATGACACTCCATATCTCAGAAGCCCAAGTATATGACCTATGAACGGGACCGAAGCATTAACCAGAGGAGGCTCTTTTGGTCCCGGTCTAAGGGCCAAGTATTCAACCAAGCGTAAGAGAAGAAATGCTGCTGTAGGGAGAAAAGCTAGAGCAACTAACAACCGGCTCAGCTCAGTAAAGTCTATCATCATGATGGATACGTCTTCAGCCTGGTAAAGCAACGAGTATGGCGTAAGATTGAAGAGTAAGGAGCTATAACACTGAGTTCGCAGACCTTCCGCGGTACAGTCATAATTCTATTTACATCTTCCTTTCGGACTCGGTTCGATAATGTGGAACTCGTAGGCTTCGAGCTACCCATATATTGCTCTCAACATCTATGCAAAAGTCGAAATGACTAGTGTAGCCGTCTGTGTGTGGTCAAGGATTATAATGCCCGTATCCTTGCCAGGGGTCGGTCCCTCATCCTAGCTACCGAGAACAGGTACAAGTCCGCCACCGGAGTGCCGTGTCAGCTCCAAAGAAGCGGTCTTATGAGCACACAATGCTGCAAACTTCTATTTATTGCCTCCATGAGTCTCTTTTGAAAAGTATGCCCGATGTTACAAGAAGCATCTCTCATTGCCTGCCAGTAACATTTCCACGCCAGTGCTTCCGATCCTTGTCATACGCCAAGATATATGCACTCTTCTTTTCGCAACAATGCTCATCAAATCTTACCCGGGTGGTGCGGCAGTCAATGGGTCGTTGTTTGTTACGTTCTTGATTACATTTCTGCTCATCACTTTCTCCGTTCCTGCGTCAAAGTCCTTCATCCGGCTGACCGGAGTCTTGGCTCTCGCGAGCTTGACTTACGCGCTCCAGCTCTCGTCTAGTGAGTGGATCGCCAATCCTCACTGGCGTTCCGCAATCGTTCCACTTTTATGGATTCAGTTCATGAGTGCTTCTGAGCTTGTCCTAGTCAGAAGGTGGGATGGCAGCTGGGAACCGGATGCCCGCACCAAGAGCACAGCTGGGTTCGCCCCATCTTCCGCCTCTCCCGCGGCCCGAACGTACGAATCTCTGATGCTGCTTTGGAAGCTCAGACGAATCGGCACGAGGTGGCAGGTCAGAAATGTTCCTGGATTACAACAACGGTCTCCACACCCCCCAGAGAGCCGGGTCGCATTCATCTTGAAACGATCTCTCAAGATCCTGGTTGCCTACCAGGTGCTTAGCCTCATGACGCAGGCCCCGCCTCCGGACCCGAATTTTGTCGGTCGCGACAAACAAGCGCTGGCGTTTCAGGGTCTCGTCAGGCTGTCGCAAGCGGACATCACCTTTCGCATCATTGGGACCCTGTCGTTCTGGGCCTGCACGGCTCTCATAAACCTACTCATGTTCGAAATTGCTTGCCTCGGATTCGTTGTCGTTTTTCTATGCAAGGTCGAGGACTGTCCTCCACTCTATGGGGATTTCTCATCTGCCTCAACCATTAGGGGCTTCTGGGGGTAAGTCGAACGCTACAATCTCGTTCCAGTCTATTTGCTGACAGTCTTCCACTCAGAACCGCATGGCATCAATGTCTGCGTAGTGGGCTCACAGGCCATGCCGATGTCATTGAACACCACATTTTCCCATTTCGGCAAAGACTGGTTTCTAGATACCTTCGTATCTTTATCTCTTTTTTCATTTCTGGTCTGATTCATCATACTTCTGACACGGCAATGGGAATGACAGCAGAGAACGCCGGTGCTTTTACCTTCTTCTTGTTGCAGCCGATTGGAATCATCGCTGAAGATGCTATCCAGGCTATCTCGAAACAAGTGCCATTGTGTCGTTCGGCGTCCAGAGTTCGGGTCTTTGTCGGATACCTATGGGTTCTTGTGTTCCTTGCCTGGTCGACCCCAACGTGGTTCTATCCCCAGCAAAGGCTCGGATTGGATGCATCCGGACTTCTTCCATTTCATCCGAATTTGTTGAAGCAGTGGAATCTCCACTCCAATTTTCACTAGAATCAGTCTCTAAATACCTTGTTATCGAAGAAACTTGATTGTCAGGCGGATAGAGTTTGAATATCTACCAGACTGGACGACTTCCTTTCGTAGAACAGGGATAAACCCGGCCTTTCTCGAAGCGACTGTCACATGCGCTAGCACGAGATCTAACTTATATTTCCTACCTACCTTGACCTTAATCGTTATGTATTGGGACTGTAGTAGTACAAGCCAGCTTTGAACACCTCTTATACCCATTGCTACGTGCCATGATAGCTCGTGACAACTTCGGTCTCGGACCGGTGTGGCGGAAGGACCATAAGAATCATCATGCACAGCACGGTCCTCCCGTATCTTCCAGCCTGGCCTGTGATCCGGACAGTGTTCACACGTACGGATTGTAGTGTATATGTGATTCATTGCCAAGATTGCTATGTATTGTCGCTACTAGCCACAATTTGGGTCGTCTCGAAACCGATCATTGTAGGGACAGGGTCCGAGGATCAACAGGGATATGCTCAGCCTCCCTTAAGCAAGCTAAAATTTATCTCGTTCGCTAGAAATCACATTTGATGCGATTCCCTTCGATGCAGTCTATCTGACCGTGGTCTATGATTTTCCGTGGAATCAACCCTACTCGTCAACTCCATCCCGCAAAGTTCTCAACATGATCAAACACCTCTATCATGCGGCTTCTATCGTGCTGCAGTCGCCCATCCCGGCGTTGATACTTCTCACCTCTACGCTTCTCTATTACATCTACTTGAAAGGCTTCCCAAGACCTCTCACTGGAATTCCATACAACGAGAGCGCTCTGAGAAGCTTCTTGGGTGACCTCCCTGCTTTCCAGCATGCAAGAAACCACGGGAAAGGCTTTACTGTGTGGATGCGCGACCTGGCTCAGAAACATAGGTCACCAATAGTTCAGGTCTTTCTGGGCCCATTTACACCGCCATGTGTAGTTCTGTTTGACTATCGTGAAAGTTACGACATTGTAGCACGGCGAACAAAGGAGTTCGATCGTTGCCGAAGGGATGCAGAAACTATGTCGACCATTTTACCTGAGCATCATCTTTCGATGGTGTCAACTGACGCCAGGTTCAAAGGCAACAAGGACTTGGTGAAGGATTTGATGGCCCCAGGATTCTTAAACGAGGTTAGTCTTTCTGTCGACTTCAGTCAAGAAAGCTTTTGTCAGCTAAACTTGGCTACTTAGGTTTCTGCGCCCGAGATTTATAGCAAAGCGCTATCTCTCATAGAGCTGTGGAGTGTGAAGAGCAAATGGGCCGCAGGCCGTCCGTTCGAAGCCCATCACGATCTTCAGAACGCTGCTTTAGACATCATCATGTCTGCTGCATTTGGCGAGACAAGCAATGGCGGTGTTCTCCGGCAGCACATACTCCAGGAAACGGGCTATAGGCCCTTCCTAGTGCCAACAGATCTGAAAGAGCCCGCATGCTTCAAGAGTCTTGGGCTTCCTACTGAGTACCAGGCTACTGTTGATATCACCCACTTTATGGGCAGGGTTGTCACGTCGCCCTTCCCAAAACAGTTTGCATGGCTGTTGAAGACCTTTACGAGTGTGAGCAGTGTATTCGTGAAGAAGGACTACTTCATCAGGAGCCAGATTCAAAAGGCAGTAGCATCGCTGAGCGACAAATGGCTCCAAGGAGAGAAGGCAGCCAAATCAGCTTTAGACTTCATCGTCCTGCGAGAAGTGACAGCAGCCAAGAAGTCTGGACGCAAACCCTCATTCACTTCCAAGAGGTTGGAAGACGAGGTAAACTTTCTGATGTCCCCTTGGACGAGAAAACCATGCTGACTTCACAACAGTTGCTTGGATACATCGTCGCGGGTCATGAAACGTCTGCGTCCATCTTATCTTGGGCTGTGAAGTTTCTAGCCGACAATCAGAAACAACAGCATACATTGCGCAAACACCTCCAGGCAGTTTATCCAGCTGCTGTCAAAGAGAAGAGACAGCCAAGTGTAACCGAACTCACAAAGGTTGCAGCTCCGTATCTTGATGCCTTCCTGGAAGAGATTTTACGACTCTCACGGACAGCTTCAATCCTAACACGCGAGGCTGTTACTGATACTATCGTGATGGGGAAGTTCGTGCCGAAAGGTACCACAATCTTCATCTTCACACAAGGGGCGAGCTATGTTCAGCCGTCTCTGGGCGTTGACGAACAAGTGAGAAGTAGGACTTCGCAAGAAGCCAAACGAGTCCCAGACTGGCTTTCCGATAATGTAGAAAAGTTCTGTGCTGGGCGCTGGCTTGTACCAAAGACGGGAGCGAGCGGGTTCAGCGAAGAAAGCGTCGGAAAAGAGGACGGCTGGACTTTGTCTGATTATGATTTTGATCCTCAAGCTGGGCCAATCTTGACATTTGGCGGTGGACCAAGAGGATGTTTTGGTAGACGTCTCGCCTATCTTGAGTTGCGCATGGTTCTTGCGTTGCTTGTGTGGAATTTTGCTTTCAAGCCATGCGCCGACAATCTTAGCACCTATGAGCTCAGGGAGAGCATAACTGTAGAACCCAAGGATTGCTACGTCAACCTTCAGACTTCAGATAACATGTAGATAAGAGTATCACAACTCCCAGGTTCAGTCGTTCACTTCGAATGTAGTCACTGGTTTCTGACATTTCTATCCAACTACAATGTTGCCGAAATCCAACTCCGCCAAAAGTCATCGCGCCAGCTCAATAGTACGCCCGTCTGGCCACTCCCAATCGTGGATTTTGTGAGCCACGGATGTTCACTCGAAGCCAAGGGTACATCAATTTGCATGAGAAGTCTAATTCCTATGCTATTATTATCATCATGTTCTGGGCTGAAAGCGATCCCACATTGCTACGGGAGCTCTAGGCTGAGTCGGCCGAATTGCTGTCGCCGAGTCACATAGTCGCTTTCGGTTTCAATTCTGACCGGCGTAAGATAACGTTTTGTGAGTACCGCGCGCGGACCGCAAACCTTATTTCCTGCAAAGATCTAGAACCCGCATGCCTTTGCCGATCTCCGCACGAATGAATCCGAGACAGACTCAGAGGAAGAAACGGGGACATGACCAGTTCTCCGCGTGCCGTGTATGGGATGACCCGATTCATGTGCTCCGAGGACTAGGGAGCGACGCTATGCCAAACACCTAATCCCACTTTTGCACACTACCCTGGGCCCATGCTCCATCAGTCTTGATCAGCCTCCTGCTGAGCCTCCGAGCGCGCCAAGCTAGGTTATTAGCATCCACAACGTTCCAGTCTCAGAGCGAGGCGGGCTGTTGGCAAGATTCTCCGATCGAGACGGCCCAATTTGGTAGCATTCAATGCCGAGGCGCCATGATAATTGATGACTACGTGACTCGAGGGCAAGTGTTGATAACATATATACATTTCAACACGAAAGATTATTGGACTTCTCTGAGCATTCAGCATCTGTACCATCACGAAGTTCAGGAAGTCGTTCCTTTCGCAGTTTTACACATCTGTTCGCGTTTTTTTCTTTTTCGTTTCTTTCAACATCGCCGACAATCAAGATGGAGTCTCTAGATGTTCCCTTGGCGCCTGAGTCTACTTTCGTGAGGATGAGAAAAGGTTACTCCCGATCTCGGCTTCAGCTTGAGCCCGCACAACGGCCAACATGGGGTAGATCAAGTCGAGGATCCTGGATGCGCTCAGTCGGCTCACTGCTTCTTGTGATGCTTGCGCCGACCTTAGTCATCTCCGCGACCGTAGCTATTTCTGCATTCCAAGGCTCTCTGTCCGACTTTCTGAAGGCTGCTTTGCAAGATGGATTGATTTCTGTCGTATGGTCAAATTGGCCATGCTTCAGTCTCAAGTCCACTGGCGTGTTTGCACTCTGGGTCCTCTTTCAAGGCATCCTGTTTCGATATTTGCCAGGCCCAATACACGACGGCCAGAGAAGTCCTGCCGGCCATCTATTGACCTATCGTACCAATGGGCTCAATGCCTGGTTCGTTACCCACGCATTTGCCGCTGCGCTTTGCTATTTCGGCATCTTGGATCCTGCCTTCATCCCGAAGAACTGGGGTGGCCTGGTCCTCACAATGAATGCTGCTGGTCTCTTGCTCTCTGTCCTGGCTTTCATCAAAGCGCACCTCAGGCCAACCCATGCGGATGATCGGAAGTTCAGTGGTAAGCCAACGGTCATCGTATTTTTCCGTGGTCACATAATGACTGACATATGATAGGATCCATATTTTATGACTTTTACATGGGAATCGAGCATAACCCAAGACTTTGGGGCGACTTTGACCTGAAATTATTCACCAATGGTAGACCGGGCATAATTGCATGGACACTCATGTAGGTTTCTACGAAGAATGGCCCAGCTTCACACAAGCTGACTCAAATCTAGCGATCTGTCCAACATCGCATATCAGTACGAGATCCATGGACGGATCGATCCCAACATTGTTCTTGTCACCATTCTGCACGCAGTATACGTCCTTGACTTCTTCGTTAATGAGTCCTGGTACTTGCGCACCATTGACATTGCTCACGACCACTTCGGCTTCTACCTAGCTTGGGGGTCCTTTGTCTGGCTCCCTAGCATGTATACCATTCAAACCCAATTTCTTGGGCTCTACCCAACAAGAACCTCAACCTTTCACCAGATCGTCATCTTCTCTATCGGAGTCGCTGGGTACATCATCTTCCGGGCCGTTAACAGCCAAAAGGACAGGGTTCGTCGTTCCAACGGCGATTGCTCCATTTGGGGGAATCCGGCAAAAGTCTTGGTAGCATCTTACAAGACTTCGGACGGCCAGAGTCATCAGAGCCTTCTTATTTGCAGTGGTTGGTGGGGCTGGTCGCGTCATGCCAACTACTTTGGAGACTTGCTTCTCAGTACAGCGATGTGCGCTTTAGTGGGATCTTCGAAGTGCTTGATATGGTTCTATGCGATATTCATGACAATCTTGCTCGTACACCGATGCATTCGGGATGAGGCAAGATGCTCGGCCAAGTATGGGCCGGTATGGGAGGACTACTGCAGAACTGTTCCGTGGCGAATCATACCTGGAATTTGGTGAGACTAAACCTCTGTACCTCTAAATACGTAGAACACGTTATGCCTCTACGAGCTGGGCAGGACAATTTGACTTCCAATACTTCTCTGACAGACTTTGCCGTATGATATTCGAATGAACTTGCAGTCCTAGAGCTGCACTCAGTTGAAGTTCGGTGCCTACTGGCTATCTGTGTTTTGAAGCTGAATCATCTCCATACATTGGTTCAACGCTTGTAATTCTAAATTCTCTTCAGTCCATCCCCTCCAGCTCTGTCTCCGTCCACTCCCATAGCCTTTGTGCCAGCTTTTGGTTTGCCAGGTTTTCCTGTCCCACGGCCGGTTTTCCCACGGGAAGATAATATACCCCGCTCTTGACATTTGGGTGAACTGATGCCCACAACTGATTTCGAACTCCATTCTCCACGCTGCTTGATGCCATTCTCATAAGGGGATACAACACTTCAAGTATGTAGCTTGAGGATTTCCAAGACTGTGCCCAGTTCGTATCTACAAAGCCTGGATCAACGACACAGACCTTGATCTTGGTTTGTCTCTTCGCCAATTCCCGGGCATACAAAATGACTGCGAGTTTGCTCTGACCGTATCTTGCCCATGCACCAACTTCACCAAAGTCTGTTTTGAGAGCATCAAAGACAATGCCCTGCGTCGGAGCCATCGAGGAAGCTTGAGAGCCCAAAAAGATGATCCGGGCGTCTGCTTCGGGTATTTCAGCAGTATCGAGAAGGGTTGGACTCAGAAGCTTCGCAAGCAGGACAGATCCGATATAGTTAGTGCCGAACTGCATTTCGTAGCCGTCCTCAGTCAGTCCGGGTGGTGCTGCGACGATTCCAGCGTTCAGCATGAGAATGTCTAGTCGGCTTGATTTCAGGCGAATTATACGAGCCGCCTTTCGAATCGATGCAACTGAAGTGAGCTCAAGATGAATGAACTCGATGGATGCATTTGGAGCCTCGTCCTGAATTTCCTTGATGGTCCTCTCTGCAGCGGCGGCGTTTCGTGCAGCAAGCCATATCTTCTCGGGATCATAACGCGCGTATTCCAGTACTGCCTGTCGCCCCAGGCCACTTGTTCCTCCAGTAACCAGAATGACTTTGCCTTTAATCGAAGGCAAAAGCTCGGAGCGGTTGAAGGCAGGTTTCGCCTTGGGCCATAGAAGGGAACTCATGATAACTAAAGATATCAAAGCTCGGGTGACGGAGTAAGGCGATTGGCGAAAGAGTAAGATACGTAATCAAACAGAGTGAATCAGGCACGAGGACAAATGCTTCTAAATATACTACTTTTCAAAAGGATCTAGAACGCAGCAGTAACTTTTGGGTTCATCTATCGCTGAATCGTACAGCTCCCCGTCGGATCGGCTCGGGCTTCCCAATACGTTGCCACAAATAGGTTCAGTGATTGACAGGGATGATACATGAGGTGAATTCAAGGCTAAGTAGCAGGACTAGCTAGGCGTTCTTTACCCATGGCCGAGGTCAGTGTCATGGAACATGCAAGCTTGGAGGCTGCATGGGCTCTCTGGCCGATGATCCTTGCAGCCGCCTGCAGAGGCTTAATCCGAGGCATGGATGAGCAGTCTATCTTGCTCCACAGATGGCCTGGCGGAGTTTGACACTTGGAGCCTTGCAATCGAAAGCTTAGGGACAAACTTCAGATTTCTCGATTACGGGTACACGTACTATTTACGTTTACTTCATCGCATTTCCCGCCTTGATCCACAGAGAGGATATGATACACATTCCAATAATCCATACGAGACTTCTCAGCGGCGCCCATTTGCGATTGTCCTGTAATTTGACGTAAATGAGAGTGTATGCCGCTCTGGAAAAGAGGTATGTCAGAGACAGTACATCCAGCGTTGGCTTGCCAACCCCCGCCGAGTTCGCAGCTACAACACCTGCAGCGTACAGACCCAGGGTCTCAGTCGCATTGTCGTGGGCAGCTTTGGCACGTTGAATTCTCTGGCGAATCTTGAAGTATCTTTGTCAGCTATGCGATGAAGAGTTCTAAGCACTACTTACCCTTTTGTCGAGACGCTCGTCGCCTGACACAGCATCCAGGAGCCTACGAGGCTCGGCCACGTCATATTTGTCACCCGCAATTGTATTGGCGTAGATATGTGGGATGAAAGCAAGTATGTAAGCCAAGGGAACCTATGAGTAGAGTAAGTGGCTTTTATCTTGCTAGCGGTTTCCGAACAGAAATGCTAACCGAATAGTATGAGAGGTTCGACTCAGCAAGCCCAACAAGAGACGTCATGTTGACAACGTGAATGCGGAAATGGATTGAAAGGGCTGTCTGTGGTGTAGGTGGTTGACGAGAGGAGAATAAAGTGCCCAAGTGGTGACGGAGTATCATGCAATAAATTCACGATTCCATCGCACACTCGTCATTTGGTGATTGAGTCCATGTCAGCCGGCGAGTCAAACCAACGAACCCCACAGTCCACCAGGTTAGATGGAGCCGGACTTCGTCGCTGTGCCCGGAGCCGAGATTGGGGCCTGTGGATATCGTCTGAGGTTTGTAACTCTATCTTACATTGGACGTGCGTGAACAAGGCGATACCGAGACCGAGGTTAGGCCAAGATATACTCAAATGAAGAACAGAAATAAGTACTATCACGGGCGTTATTCGTCACCAGACTTTGGGCGATTAAGCGAGTTTGAGAGCACGGATTTCGCCGAAAACTTCCGACTGATATATCAAACAGCTCATATATCTTCGTTGCTCGACACTAGACCATCGATACATCCAGCAGACAATCGCCTTTGTCACCTTTTGCCTCTTCAATAACAGACTTCTTTTCTTCTTCTTTTGGCCGAGCCTCATGACTGCGGAATCTTGTCTCTAGGTTCTTGATCACATTTTTCACTACTGATTAAGACATGGATTTGGACTTTAGCCAAAATCAAGGGCTCGTCAAGAGCCCGAAACGAGTGGGACATGTCGTCTTTAAGACCAACCAGTTTCGTGTAATGGTAGACTTCTACGTCAGTTTCTTGGGCTGCATCGTGGCTTTCGAAAATGAGGCTCTGTCCATTCTACGCTTCGATGACGAAGACGATCACCATCGTGTTGCGATTGTTGAGCTTCCCGGCTTGAAGACTGCCGAACTGCAAGCAACAGGCTTGGAACATGTCGCCTTCTGTTACTCGACACTGGCTGATCTTCTGTCTACCTACCAGACGCACAAGGCCAATGGCATTACGCCTTATTGGTGTGTCAACCATGGCCCGACCACAAGTCTTTATTACAAAGACCCAGACGGCAACGGCGTCGAACTCCTTGTAGACAACTTTGACACAATTCAAGAAGCAAACGATTTTATGGCATCATCTCTTTTCGTAGAGAACCCCATTGGCACCGAGTTTGATCCGGACGATGTTGTCAGGAGATTGGAACAAGGAGAGAGTGAGAGTTCACTGAAGCGAAGGGTCGAGATAGGACCACGGAAAGCGTTTGGATGCTGAAGTGTGTGAAAGCCGGAAGCATGTAAGCGGACAAGGGTCGCGGGATCACCCAGAGATTTGATGAGACGCACATTAATATTTCGACGCATGCAATAAATTCAATCTGTCATGGATAACGAGCCAGCTCTTCTATACATTACCCGACCTAATAATTGAGGCCGTTGTGGGCTTGTTTGCTGTACCTACTCACTTCAAAGTTGATTATCGCCTAGATAATAGGTACGTATGAGATTTATGTTGGGATGGGAATGGTGACATGGCTACCTTGCACTAAAGGAGCAATAGACATCTCGAGTAAACTGAGAGGCCAGACGGTGCCAGGTGCGAGTGAGTGCGCCACCACCAACCCCACAAACGGCGTCCCCTGTCGCCGAATGCCGAACTTTTCACTCCACCGCAGCAACCCGCCGCCAAAAAATTTCCAGGCGCTTCCTCCAAAGGCCGTCTGAACATCTTTGTCTTTTTTTTTTCGCGCCCTTCTGAGATCCTCCGCAGTGTAGTGACAGAGCTTGACGCAAACGAAACGACGACAATGGCGACTCCCACGAAGCCTCCCGCAAAGGGATCAGGGAAGAAGCAGCAGCCCAAGGTCCTCAAGAGAGATTCGCGCCTCGAAAAGAGAAAGCAACAGCAGCAAACAATCGAGCAGCTCGAGAGGGCCGTAGCCGACTTTGTAAGTATTCTTTGCGGGAGCGCCCGCCACACCCAAACCCAAGTCCACGACGACATTGCGAATTGTTGGACCAAGGCTGACCCAGGACCCTGTATTTACACGATCAATAGGACCCCAAGAGCGAATACACCAGCTTCTCCGAACTTCCCCTCTGCGAAACGACCCGAAAGGGCCTCGAGAAATCGCACTTCGAGACCCTCACCGATATCCAGTCCCGCGCCGTACCCCTCGCCCTCAAAGGAAGCGACATCCTCGGCGCCGCCAAGACGGGCAGTGGCAAGACCCTCGCCTTCATTATACCCGTCCTCGAGAAGCTCTACCGTGCGCAATGGACAGAGTTCGACGGCCTCGGCGCCCTCATCATCTCCCCGACCCGCGAGCTCGCCGCCCAGATCTTTGAGGTCCTCCGCAAGGTCGGCCGTTACCACAACTTCTCCGCCGGTCTTGTCATTGGAGGCAAGAGTTTGAAGGAGGAGGCTGAGCGTCTGTCAAAAATGAACATCCTCGTCTGCACGCCCGGTCGCATGTTGCAGCACCTCGACCAGACGGCCGGTTTCGACGTCGATAACCTCCAGATCCTCGTGCTCGACGAGGCGGATCGCATCATGGACATGGGCTTCCAACACGCCGTCGACGCCTTGGTGGACCACCTTCCCTCTACGAGACAGACTCTCCTCTTCAGCGCGACGCAGAGCAAAAAGATCTCCGACCTCGCGCGCCTGAGTCTCAAGGACCCCGAATACGTCTCCGTTCACGAGGAATCCACGCCCAAGAACCTGCAGCAGCACTACATCGTCACTCCCCTCCACGAGAAGCTCGACACCCTCTTCGGCTTCATCAAGGCCAACCTCAAGAGCAAAATCATCGTCTTCTTCTCCTCAGGCAAGCAGGTTCGCTTCGCCTACGAAGGCATGCGACACCTCCAGCCGGGTGTACCCCTCCTCCACCTCCTCGGCAAGCAAAAGCAGCTCCAGCGCATGGAAATCACAAAGCGCTTCGCCGACGCAAACGCATCCGTCCTCTTCGCCACCGACGTCGTCGCCCGCGGCGTAGACTTCCCAGCCGTCGACTGGGTCGTCCAGGTCGACTGCCCCGAAGACGTCGACACATACATCCACCGCGTCGGTCGTACCGCCCGGTACGAGCGCGACGGCAAAGCCGTCCTCTTCCTCGAGCCCAGCGAGGAGGCCGGCATGCTCAAGCGCCTCGAGCTCAAGAAGGTACCCATCAACAAAATCACCGTCAAGGAGAGCAAGAAGAAGAGCATCAAGGACCAGCTCCAGAGCATGTGCTTCTCCAACCCGGACCTCAAGTACCTCGGCCAAAAGGCCTTCATCAGCTACGTCCGCTCCATCTACTTGCAAAAGGACAAGGAGGTCTTCAAGTTCAACAAACTCGACCTCGACGCCTACGCCGCGAGTCTCGGCCTACCCGGTGCGCCGCAGATCAAGATGCGCAAGGGCGAGGACATCAAAAAGGTCAAGAACGCGCCCCGCAAGGGCATGTCCTCAGACGAAGACGAGGAGGACTCGGACGACGCGGCGGCGGCGGGACCCAAGAAGCCCAAGAAGCCCGAGGTCAGGACAAAGTACGACCGCATGTTCGAGCGCACGAACCAGGACGTCCTCTCAGGCCACTACACCAAGCTCGTAGCCAACGGCGACGAAGTCACCGGCGACACAACCGACCCCACCGCAGCAGCACCCGCAGGCGCAGACGGCGAAGAAGAAGAAGACTTCCTCTCCGTAAAACGCGTCCTCAACGACTCCGAGCTCGACGCCGAATCCAACCTCGCACCAGGCGCCAAACCAAAGGTGATATCCTACGGCGGCCAAGACTTCATCGTCGACTCCAAGCGCCGCGAAAAGGCCCTCCAGTCCAAGAAGAAGATGCTCAAGTTCAAAGGCCGCGGCGAGAAGCTCGTATTTGACGAGGACGGCAACGCGCACCAAATCTACGAGCTGCAAAACGAAGACGACTTCGAAAAGGAGGGGCCCGCGGAGGCGCTCCGGCAAAAGTTCGTCGAGGGCGAGGCGGCGCGCGTCAAGGAGGCCGACGTGGATGATAAGCTTGCCGCCAAGGGACGGCTCAAGGAGAAGAGGCTTAAGAGGAAGCAGAGGGAGGCCGAGGAGCGCGGGGAGGGTGTGCCGAAGAGTGCTGAGGGACCGCAGGTCGCCGGTGGTGACGATGGGGATGAAGATCCGTTGGCGCTGTTGCGGTCGTTGCCGATTGCGGGTGAGGGCGGCGGCGAGTACAGCGGTAGCGAAGACGAGAGGCCGAAGAAGAAGACCAAGAAGTGGTTTCAGGATGACTCCGATGAGGAGAGGGAGAAGAAGAAGAAGGCCAAGAAGGGCGGCAAGGTGCTCGAGATTGACCACGAGCCCGAGACGTTGGAGGACCTCGAGGCATTGGCTTCGGGCTTGTTGAACTAAAACGATATATACCCCGTTGAGAGGATTTGAATCAAAAGGAGAAAAAAGTTAGCCTGCCACTATAGAAGCACTTGATCATGTACAAGATCATTCATCAGGAGCAGGAGAATGCTTTGAATACGTTATGCGTTAAATACTCTCTTTGCCTAAGGACTGCATCAAAAAGAAGTCCACGGGGTATCGTCAACCCCCAACGCCAGGTGCCTTTTCAATCCCTCGTTCCCTGAATGCTTGGAAAACCTCATGTCTTGCAAAAAAAAGCCATTCCTAAGCCAGTGCGTCCCACTCAAATGTAGCGAGGCCCAGTCGAATCAACGCCGGAGACGCAACGACTGAAAGGCGCTATCTATCTCTCCGCTCCTTTGTCCCAATCTCTCCTCAAGCCTCGTTCTCCACGCCATAGAGTCGCACTCTGTACAAGCACGTGTGGTCAGAACCGTAGTTGCTGGTCACATGAAGCGCGATTTGATCCGTGTAGGCCCCCAAAGCAAGTAGCTCCGAACTGAGCTTATGTACGTGTGCTCCGTTGAGCGTGTCGCTGCTTTCGTAAGTGAATTGACCAATCTTCACCCAGCCATCCGAGAGTTTGGTGCCTGGGAAGTGGGCTGCCGCAAAGTCGGCAACGCGATTACGCGTGTGAAGGTCCGTGTAATATGCTAGAATGTCAATGTCCTTTGGCCTGGCGTCGGGATTCAGCGTGGCCCCAGGTAAAATGTGCTCGACGACCAGATGCTGGGGAACAATCTCTCGACTGAGGATGTAGCCGATGCGGACGCCGCCTTCTTTTCCATCTCTATCCACGACAACCATGCCACACCAGCAGTCTCCTTCGTCCTCCCAGCCGTACAGCGTTGCAACCGGGGGTTGGATGTGAGGACTCCGTGATGTTAGTTTCTTGTAACTCTCGGTGCCTAGTTTGGCCTTGACGGGAGGCACGTAATTCGGCGTAAGATGGTCGCGCGATACAATAACGCCGCTACCATGAGCCAAGTAGTTGACCTGATGGCGGAGTTCCTTATCCCAAACCGCACCGATCTTGCCTTGCGCAAGCGCTTCTAGCCCGGCATTCGCAATCGCCTGGCGGATCATGCCATCAACCACCGTTATCATCTCGGTCCGTGTGACGCCCTTAGGCGGGCTCTTCTTCAAAATGCCCTCGACCGATTCATTGATATACTGCTCCAGCTTCTTCTGCAGTTCCTGCGCCTCAGCTTTGACCTCGTTCCTGTGCGTTGCGAACTCGCCCTTGAGATGGCGAATGAACTCATCTCGTGTTACCACGACGTCCTTGGTGTCCTTGTTCTTGAACTGGTCCTTGACGAACCTCTCAATCTTGGACTCGAGATCCTTGCCAATCTTGTCCGGAATGGACGTGCTGAACTGGGGTTCGAGTATTTTGGCGATCTTCTTGTTATTGTTGACGAGCCACTTCTCCCAGGTCTTGTCGAACTTGGACTGTGAAATGGTCTCGACGTCCGCGGAAGATAGTCCTGGCGCAGGCGGTTCAGCAGCTTTCTGATACACGGGATCCTTCTGGAGTCTGCTCTTGATCGCCAACCAGTTCTCATCGGAGATGAAGTGGTAGCCGCCATGACCCCGGCTCAGGGTTAAGATTTCGGCATCGCTTTTCATGAGGTCACGCAACGCGTGGTAGAATTCCTCTCCCACGACGGGCCGTCCCTTCTTGTCTAACTTCATGTGCACAACCTTGGGAACAATCTCCATCAAACGCGAAAGTGATCCCTCGTGGAGCTTGCTGGCCGTCGTCAACTTGGTGATTTCGTATTCGTGATTGCGTTGTTGGCGGACATATTCTCTAGCGTCATCGTCGCTGAAGAGTGTCGCCGGTCGCGACATCCAGAGTGGGACGAATTGTCCGAGATTGTGTGAGAAGT